TAAAATCACTGTACAGAATTCCCCAATCCAGACCCAATCTGGGTGCCTCCTGCAGCCACAGCAGCTCTTTAAAGAGCTGCAACACTCGTCAGATGTGGTGCCAACGGTACTGCAGCCCCACCACCAAGACTCTGGGCTCGTCAGTCGCCGCGTGTATTTTCAGCTTCAGCTTCCTCACCATAAAAACTCGTGTGTCGTCGTGGGGTTTTGTTTGGTTTCAGTGCACTCAAGCAGCCTCACTGAAGTGCTGCAGAAAGGGACCACGCTGACAGCCCAGTCAGTGCACGTGGATGTCACGTCGTGCTGCTGTTCCTCCTCTGTCGTGAAGAGCCAGTCCGTGGTGTCCTCCGTGGACATGGGACCACAGCCGGGAAATCTCAGTTCTGCCCCTGAAAAAGAGGGGCACAAGCAGAGGAATGATTTCAGAGCAGAGCAACCCGGAATGGCAGGATGTTTGGAAATGTTTTCCAGGTCGCTTGGGTAAAAATCCACTTTTTAATTGTAATGTCCTTCCACATATTGCGAGTTTTGTATCCCACTGCCACGCCAGACTCGTGGTACTGTACAAGACAGAGGGGAAGGGAAGGGCTCAGCCTGCTGTTAACCTTCTGGTCACAACAACATGTTAAGTGAATCATTACTGTGTGTGACAAGACAATAAACCTTGACAACTTTTAAATGTTGTTTTGTAATTAAGACACCTCCAAGTCTCTTTTCTTTAAAAAGAAGTTGTGGGCAAGGTACTGTCACTCAGACCTGCCTGTATCCAAAACACCAGCCAGGCTGTCTCTGCAGCCGAGGTCAGGGATAAACGCAGCAAGTTACATCCAAGAAGGCTTGTTTGGGGGGTGCCCTGGGGTACAGTGACCCTGTCACCTCCCAAGAGGTGCAGATGCTCCAGGAGGCCTCAGCTGTGGCTCTAGGGCCAGCGGCTGCGTTTTGGACAGGGTCTGGAGAGGGTCTTGGCACGCCCGAGGCTGGGAGGGCTCTGACCGTGTGCTCTGCGGGCTGACAGCCAGCCGTGTCCTGAAGGCACCCGGCAGATCCCACGTCATTCCCAGCCGGGGCTGCGTGCACCGGACTGACCTTTGCAGCTGGTTGGATGTGCCCGTGACGGTGTGTGACAGTCAGCCTGCAAAACGTCCCCAGCTGAGGCGAGCCAGGAGAGAGCTGAACGTCCTGGGTAAATGCTGGGTTGCTATTTTATTTCATCCTCTTGTCAGGCAGCGAGCAGCCAGGCCAAGCTCCCTGTGCCTCGGATGCAGCACAAGATCGGACTTCTGAGGACGGGTGGCTACGCTGGGAGATAAAGCAGATGACAATAAACAGACTGATGCCCTGTTCACGTGCTGCACACAGAAAGCAACGGCTGGGCCCCAGTGAATGCCACCTTTCTTTCTCTGAGAAAGGCAGCAGTGTCAGCAGCATCTCTGGGAATTAATCCGTGCTTTGTGTTTGTTTCTTTTTGTGGAAATCCTCGTGGCAGGGGTGGGGTGGTTTCCACACAACCAGCCTTGCTACCCCTGGCTCTTTAAACCCAGAGGAATCAGGAGCAGCACTGCAGTGCCTCTACCCCTTTCATTTTATCTTGTGGTTGAAAGTCTTGTTAAATGCTGCCTCTAACGTCCTGAAATCTCTCCCAAGAGGCTGCTATGGGCTCATTGAATTAGATTGATACAGTAATAACTTTATTTAGGTTTTTTGAGAGAGAATACAGGCAAGAAAAAAACAATACCTTTATTTAGGTTTTTTGAATACAGGGAAGAAAAACCATCAACCACTGCAAAGAAGGACTTCAGCACCAAGTCCAGGCCACGGTCTCACTAGATTTGTGCTCTCTAGGGAATTACCAAAGAGCTCATTTCTTCCTCTTGTTACCACACTTGTTTGTTTGGGGTTTTTTTTGTTTTTATTTGGTTGGCATGGCTGTTGAAATAAAGGTTGGATTCCCTTTGTGCAAGGTCTGGCCAAAGTCTGAAATCTGTTGTTGCAAGAGATGGCGTAAATCAGACTTCAGCAGGGAAAATGAAATCATTCAGCTCGTCAATCAGTGCACATGGGGAGAGCTGCCCCAGTTGGAAAGGGCAGCTCGTGGTGTGGGCAGCCCTCCTGCACACCCCTCCTGAAAGCAGGGTCCCCTCCTGCTTTGCCAAATCAACCCCTTTATAAAACCACAGCCAGAGAAGGGGCAGAACTGCAGCCCCACTGTAACCCTGCACATCTGGAGCCACCAGCCCCAGGGCAGCTCTCCCTCCCCACTGCTGACACGGGCTTGCACAGCTCTTTCTGCTGCTGTCACTTGGGTATGGTGGCAGCAAACAGGATGCTGATGCATTGGCCCTGCTGCTTTTTTGAGGACGTGCTGGAGGTATCAGCAGAAATGCTGCAGCGAGTCGTTTTGCTTACAGGTAGATGAAGCAGCCAGCAGCCAGCTTCAGTGAGTCTGGAATCTGAGCTGTCTGAAATGTTTATTTTCTGTGTTTCTTTCAATAGCAAGAATTGCATCAGGAACAAAAGTGCATTGTTTATTGCATCCTGTTTGCTCTAATACTCATTTCCCTCCCGTCAGTTGCCAGGAAAAAAGAGGTAAGCTGGTTCTAGCTGTGCAAGGAGGAGTGTGGAGCAATCCTCATACCTTGCAAACTCAGTAGCACTGCAATGCAGTCAGCTAGGAGAGGAGAAAAACCCCTCCACTCAGCTGCTGCATCACCAGTGCTCTGTGGACTGGGACAAAGGTTACCTGCTGTGGAAACATCAGAATCATAATTTTATCTGTTCATAAAAAAACTTGAAAGTACGTGCGTGGCATACGAGCCAAAGTCTGGGAGGAGGGAGGGAGGGAGGTGGGTTTCTCCTCTGGAGCTGAACCTCTCAAGGTAATGTATTCCTTGACAGTATTTCCTCTTCCAGAGTTGAAGTCCCTGCGTGTGGGACGGACTTGGCAGCGGGTTATATAAATTTCTAGTTAAAAGCTCACGAAGGAACATTCAGAAGTGGTTGAAGTGGCAGGTTATCATCTCAGCAGGGCCGGTCATTGGAACAGCTCTGTAAGAAGACACGGCTGTGGCTGATGTTCCTGCATCTCTAGGGCAGATGGTGGGGTTTATGTGTTGCCCCCAAAGCTGTGCTGAACCAGGAGCAGGGAGCAGGGAGTACCTTCCACACCGCAGCCTGCGGAAAAATCCCGCTGCTGTAACCGCGTCCGTCCCTGCTGCGTCCTCGCCATGTCCCCACTGCCATCTGTCTCCTTCACAGCAGGACCAAAGTGGGTCACAGCTCGGACAGGATCTGAAAGGAGAAGGATGCTGCAGCAGAAGTGAAGGCAGGAGCTGTGTCAGCACCGAGCTGGCGTGGGCAGGGCAGCAATGCAGCCATTTGCTGTACCCATCACCAGACAAAACAGGATGTTATCACTTCTGGCCTCTCAGTCTTCCCCAGGTAATAACTGCTGTGGCAGAGGTGAGCACCGAGATAACAATTCCTGGCAACTGGTTTATCTTGCAGCATCCACCCACATCACAAACCCCCAAATTAGAAAGCGTGTCACTGTATTTATCAGGAGGCTCATCTCTACAGAAACCCAACTCTTATTCCGGGGTTGCCTGTCACTTCTACCAGCAGCACCCATCAGCAGAGGAGGGTTTCTCAATCTCCACTAAGGCAAAAGGGGCACAGAAGGATTGAAAAACAAACATGAAATCAGCATCTCGTGGTTTCTGCT